GCGTGTGGCTTAATGTGAGCCCCACTATCTGACGGCAGTGCATCTTGAAGACTCCTGGGGCAGCACCTCCTGGTGGTGGGAGTGGGCCAGCTGTCACTCAGAAATGTGGCCTGTGATTGTTAGGTCAAGGTTGGGTTTCTTGATGGTGGGAGGAGGTGTGGTGGGTGTTTCTCCAGGTCCTTATCTGGCGTTTGTTGCTGGAGCTCAGGATGGTGGCCTGGGCTGGGTGGCATCGGTTGCTCTTGGCATCCTCCTGTGCAGATCTGGTCTTTCAGCTCCGATCTCTGGAACCGCTCTGCACTTTACTGTGGGCTCCCAGGACCTCTGTGCTGTCCTGAAACATCCCTGAGATGACCTGGATCACCTTCCCTTTGTTGTCTCTTTTCAGGCAGAAGAGAGGTAGAAAAAAGTGTGATTGGGAAGGCTGGCTGGAGTGGTGATGGGGAAGAAGTCGCTGGCAGGGAAGGCAGGTGGCCTGATCGTGGTGGGGTGTGAGGGGAGAGCGGGCAGGGAGCCGCGGCAGACGGAGCTGACGCCGCAGGGGCCTGCGCTGTGCTTGGTTCATGGCTCTGCAGACCTCCGCTCAGCTCACGAGGCTCCGTTTGAAGAGCAGCGGCTTAGGCTGGGTTCACTGTTTCAGACGGCTGCAGGTGAAGGTTTATGTTCTCAGCCTCATTCACGTGTATCTGTTGTGGATTATTTGTTCTCCTTTGCGAGTCATTCGTCTTGAGAGAAAAACACCCGTTGTGCCGGGTGAGTGCTGGAGCAGTGTCTGAGCCGCCCTCTCTCCCTGCCAGCCTGTCCGTGCAGGGCTCCTGCCTCACTCTGGGCCGCCTGTTTCTCCATCAGGGCTGCCTTTGGCTGGCGCCGAAACCCGCGCTCACTGCCCACTTGTGCTTTCCTCCGAGTTCCGTCCTCGCTGTTTGAGCTCCCCTGTGTTCTCCAGAGTGGCAGAGCCTATCTCCTACTGTGTCATCTCCTACTGGATAATCACGCTTGTCTTCCCAGCCGTATCTGGGTTCTATTTGGGGAACTTGGCAAAATTTGGATGCGTTTAATCTACCCCCCTAGTTTGGCCTGTTGCTTCTTTTGTGCTGTATCTTCTTGCCTTGCTTGTTATTTTTTGATCCTGTTGTCTTAGTTTCCTCTCCAGGTCAGTTTGCAATTTCATTTTCCTTTAATTAGGGTCTATTATTTTTTCCACCTAGAAGCTCGTTAAGGGCAGGAAACGGTTTTGACTCTGTATCCTGACTTAACAAATATTTTGACACTCGTGGAGGGAGGAGGGTAAGTGCAGTTGCACTGCATTTTGTTTGAAGCCCCAGAGATGGGCTGCCTTTAAAATTGAAAATTGCAGGTTATTCATGCATACACTGGCTGAAAAGTAGTTGGATTTCTGACTCATTTTGAGCTACGTTTTATGAGAAGTTTGCTAGCGGGCCGCCCCGTTCTGGCTGTTCAGCGGTCCCCCTCTCTCGCTGGGGCTGTTTCTGACGCGTTTCCTTTTCAGCCCTCCAGCCTTCTCTGCTCCTTGTGCCGCTCAGAGCCCCGCGCCCCACCCGCCCCCTGATGATGCCGAGCAGCAGGCGGCGCTCCTGCTGGCGTGCTCCGGGGACGCACTGCCCGCGCCTCCGCCTCCAGTGAACATGTACGACCTTTTCGAAGCTTTGCAGGTAACTTTTGGCACCTTAAGGTTGTTCTAGATTTATGGGTAGGTTCAAAGTTTCTTCAAGTCCACAAAGATAATATTCACTAGCTTTCCCATTTCTTGACTTGTTTTTCAGTTTTTATTGTTATTACAGTTATTGTTTGTTATTAATACTAGCCTTATTTTCAAATCCTGCTCTCAGGAATCCTTTCTAACTTACCTCCCCCATTTCTCACCTTTCCGGTGAAAGGAGAAAAAAAACTCCTTGTTCCCTTATTTCTCCTTCAGAGCCTTGTTATTTCCTTGTTTTTTTTTGTTATGTTTTGGGTTTTATTAAGTTTTGGCTCAAAACTTAACAGGTTTGTGTCTTGTGTGTGAGTGTTTTGTTGATATAAACCTTACGTTCATTTTCTGTGTACTGAAGTATAATTGGAGACATGCTGATGTTTTTATCCCAGGTACACAGGGAAGTCATTCCTACCCATACCGTATATGCTCTCAACATTGAAAGGATCATTATGAAACTCTGGCATCCCAATCATGAAGAGCTGCAGCAAGACAAAGTCCATCGCCAGCGCTTGGCAGCCAAGGAGGGGCTTTTGTTCTGCTGAATTAGGATTTGACGGTGTGGGACCCTCAGCTAACTCATTGATTATTGAATTGAATGTTTTGGGGATTCACATTGCAAGACTGAAGTGTATAGTGTACATATAATCTTTCCTATGGAAATGAGACAGTACATTTTGTGTTGCTGCTGTGACGCCATTAATATAAATCTGATTTTGGCAATGACCCATATCTCTCTTGTGTGTGTGTGTGTTCCCAATTATGGGACTAGGCACTGAGAAAGTTCTGTGCCTGGAATAGCGATGTTTGGGCATCTGAGCCCTAGTATCCTATGGTCTTCATGTGAGGTAGGTGACATTCTAGAACAAAGAAGCTGTTATAACTTTGTCTCCACAATCAGGAGGATGTCTGTCTGTTCAGAGACATCATGTATTCTGTATCTGGCAAGTCTGAAATTTCTGCTTTTCTCCTGAAGAACTGTTTTTTCTTAAACTGCTTTTAACAAAGTGTTAAAAGTTGGTTATCTTTGTTAGTCATCAGTTTAGTATACTTTTTTTTTGTGACCAGTTTTAACAGATACAGTTGCCTATTACAATTTCATAGAAAATAAGACTTAGAAATACTATGCTGTTCAATAAGATAAAGTCTCTTCTTTAAAAACCAAATGAGAATAATCTCTTAGGATGTAACTTTATAAAAATATCTTCTCATAATTCCTTTATTTTAGAGTTGTTAGGCCCAAAGACTTTGATTGGTAGGTTCATCTATTCCTGTAGATGTCTTCAAGAAGTTCAGGTAAACATACTGGATTTATACTTGGTTAATTCTCCTGTTCCTGTGAAATATCCTTCCAAATGGCAGTGTTACTAATAACCAAGTTTGTTTCTTAAAAGATACGTTGCTTTTTTTATTCAAGAGATGTTATAGGTAGATACACTAGAATATACAGATGGGTTTAAGTAGGTCTAAATAATATATGTGTAGATAAGTATGTGTGGTTCAATATCTGGATCTGTGTATTTGTTTTTGTATTTTAAATGCAACAAATAAATCTTTTGGGAGAAAACTTTATTAAAGTGAACATAACGAATACTGCCTTCAGAAATATGAAGAACCTTGCTTTATGAGATCTTAGCAGAAACTTTTCAAAAGAATGTATCAGAAAGATAAAAAACAGGTTCCAATTAAGGTGTGTCATCGCTTCCTTCTGTGATACATAGATTAAGACAAAAAAATAAATAGCTTAGTTTCAGTTCTTGGGACAACTCTGAAAAGTCATTTAGAGTTTTGGATAACTCAAGCATTTTTAGGATTTCTAAGAACTTGAACTGATATCTAAGTGTGTATAGTGGATCCATATTCTATCTTGAGCCTCAGTGCTAAGTGTGTATTACATTTCATGTGCTCCATAGATGGAGAGACACCTAGACGTTTTGAACATGCCCTGCTGCTCATTACAAGGGCAGGTTCCCACTGAAATCCGTGTAGCAGTGGACCTCACTCCTCTATAGGACCTGGCCTAAATCCCCACTCACCATTCTGGTGGGACCAGAGGACTCCCAAGTTTTGGGCCTGCACTCTTAAGGTCTGCTTTCCATGCCAGTTTTCCTCAAGTATCATTTTATACAGTGGAGAGATGAGGCTAGGGACACGGCAGGAAGGTAGAGTCATTGATACTTAGGATTTTTCAAGACAGACTCTCTGATTCAAATACCTCAGTTCCACCAAACACTGCCTCCAGCTCAGCTCCATTTTGGGATCCTGAATGCAGTGCATCTTTTATAATTAGGTTCTTAAGAAATCATGAGTGCTTATTATCAGGCATCATTCAGAAAAAATAACTGCTTCAGAGAGGAAAAAGGCAATTAGAAACCAGATAATTTCAGACTTAGAATAAAGCTTATTTTTCCTTTAGAGATTTAAGTAGTTCTTTCAGCTATAGGTGTCATTGTTCAAAACCAGATTTGGTAAGGCCCTCCTCTCTACCAGGCACCGATGCCGGTTTAGCACACATTCTTACCACCTTCATCGCCCATTCCTGGGATTAGTCAGGCACACAGTTCCCCTAGCCCTTCTCCCATTGCCTGAAGGGATCAGCATGTTGCTGATCAGATTTCATGAAGTGACTTCTAAATGACTGCTCACTTTCACCATGTAAAAATGCTTATGTTTCATCATGTCTTTGACTTAAACCAAAAATTCCTCCAGTTTGAATAATGGTTTGGGAGTCAGACTTAGATGCGATGGCCAACAGACTGGTTCAGCATTCGATTCTCATGGCTTAATAAAGGAAAAATACCTAGATTATTCTTGGAGTGTAGACTAATATTTAATCAAATCAACTGGCATGGTAATTACTAAAAGCACAATATGAAAAGGCATATGGATTCATCATACTTTCATTTTAAAAAATATTTATCAAAACAGGACCAAGTTTTCTATTCATCAACCTGCTAGCATGTTTCCATTCTTTTAAATTTAATATCCCTTTACGGATTTCCTTCATTGATTGGTAACATACTATTCCTGAGAGTAGTCACCAGATATGACTGAGGGAAAAAGCTATTTTCGCTGGGCCCTTTCCCCCACCTTTAAAAGCCAGTTGGAAACCACACGTTTACCTTTAAAGACACCAACAGTAATTACATTGTCATCCCATGAACAGACTCTTTTTTTCAAGGGTATAATATATTTCTCCACCAAACTGAGTGAGAATAAAGTGTAAATGAGAGTTTGAAATGTGACTTTTTAAAATACTAGCAGATAATAAAACACCAGAGTCTACTGTCTTTATTATCAAAGTTTATTGTCAGAGTCAGTTCCTATCTACTGGGGAGTACAACTATGTCTCAATGTGTGCTATAGTAACTCTAGGGTAATAGCCATTCTGCAAAATAGTTGTACTGGGGCTCTGTTAGGCATAGATCATAAGTCAGTGGAAGAATGAGCCCAGAAAACCCTGACAATAGAGCCATTACTCTAGGAAGTTCCAGTGCTATGCAGCCTGTAAGGCGTCATCTACCAGCTGACGATGAGGCTCAAGGAGGTGTTGGCGGGATGAAACAGGAGTTGAACCCGTTTTCTACTCTTTGCAAGACAACTATGGCTCCAATGCAGGAACCAAAAACCAGGTCTTACAAAATCCTTTAAGCTCCCAAAACAAGTAAAACAGGACATAAAGAGGAAAGAGCCAGGAACCAGGATAGTGGAGGATAAATTAAGTGGAATTGGAGGGAATGAAAACTTCTGGAATGAAAAGTAGCTGGATTTAGATGCCATTTGAGATGATAAAGAATACAGTGCAGGTAAAAGCAAATGAGGAAACAATTCAAACTTTGAAAAGTATTCAGACACCAAAAGTTAAAGTTCCCCTCTTGGAGGAAAACTGGTTTTAAAAAATGAGGAAAGTGGGTCACTAATAGGAATGAGTACCTGAGTAGAAATAGGTGTTTCAGGATGCCAAGAATATTATATAAATGAGCTGGGGCTAGAGGAAGGAAAAGTGGTTATGGTAGCCTGTTATCCAGATCTGACATTGGAATGATGTTTCTAGCAATGGCTTTGTCTATGAGGTTCTGGCATATTTTTTTTGTAGCATAGGTAGCTTTGATGGAATGTTTTCATAACACTCAATTTATGTGGGAATGCAAATTACTATAGTGTAAAATTTCAAAGATCTCCCACCTATTTCTGTGGGATAGAAGATTAGAAGTCCTGAAACAGCTGTGGCTAAAGGCCCAAGCCCTCTCACCACCCTTGTGATGAAAATATTAAAGGAATGAACCAAACAGTATCAGTGAGTCAATGAGCATTGTACCATGTAGACAGCAGATAATTTATGGTGACTTCTGCAGGCAGCCTGAGAAACAGAAAAGCTTGTGTACTAAATGCTACCCTATCATTAAATATATAATAACAAAAAACAGGGCCATTAAATGAGACCCTAGAAAAGTCTAGCTGCCAACCAGATTGGGAAGATAAATAGCATAGTTTATTTTAATCTGTATCTTCCATACTAACCTAGTCTGTAGAAAAGCCATCTGCTGGCACTAGGCCAGTATGTCTGAATTTTGTCATTATTAGCATCTCATTTTTCCAAAAAAGGAAATGTGTAAGTAGCAGGTGTACATAAATGACCATTTCTACAAAGCCTTCTCTGCAGTCTTGACCTGTGTGGGGACAGGTTCTACTGATGAAGCATTTTTAGAGGCAAAAGGAAAAACATTAACTTGAGGTTTTCTCCAAAGAAAGAATACCAGTGGAGTTGGGCCCATATGATGAGTTTCTTGTTGGTGTTGAACAAATGGTCTCTTCTCTAGGAAATACGTTTGTTCACACCTATTTACAGGTTCTATAAATGTAATTCTAAAACAAGAAGTAGAAGCAGTTTCTTTTCTAATCAAGTCTCTGATGAAATGAAGGGTCCTCAATTTTTCGGACTCCTCGTGGTGTGGGATGGGGTTGGGCTCTATACCAGGGCCGGATGCTCAGGCTGCTGTCCAGACCTGGGTTATTTCAAGCACCACGGCCTTTTCCTGCATTCCTTTCCCTGCGCATTCAGGCTGTGAGGAATCTTCTTGAACATTTTCCTCCCCAACTGTTCCAAACACAGTTCTATTTGCTAGAAAACAGAACATAAGTGTGAGTTAACATTTGGATTTTAGACACCGTATAACTTCATGAACATAATTATTCCATTAGTCACATTTCCAAACAGATGAGAAGAGGCCCTTTTATGCCTGTATGTCTCCTCTCAAATGTCTTGTTCACTGATAATCCTGTCTACTTCTATAACTTCCTCAGCTCAAAACCAGGACAACTATCCAGAGAACTGTGGCTGTCAAGATGAGCCAGAGCTCATGGTTCTGATGGGATGTAAATGCACAGCCTGTGTCCACAGCTGTGTCCCAGCCTTGTTTTCTTCGTTTTGATAGTTTTTGATCCAGTCCTGTGTGTAGCATAAACCTTAGAAAATTAAAAATACACAAAAATGTCATCTGCTTAAAATCCTTCAAGCTAGGCTTCAGCAGTACGTGAACCAAGAACTTCCAGATTTATAAGCTGGGTTTCAAAGAGGCAGAGGAACCAGAGATCAAATTGCTAACATCTAATGGGCCATGGAGAAAGCAACGGAGTGCCAGAAAAACATCTACCTCTGCTCCATTGACTACGCTCAAGGTTTTGACCATGGAGATCACAACAAACTGGAAAATTCTTAAAGACAGATGGGAATACCAGACTACCTTACCTGTCTACAGAGAAACCTGCATGCAAGTCAAGAAGCAACAGTTAGAACCGGTCATGCAATACCTGACTGGTTTCAAATTGGGAAAGGGGTACATCAAGGCTGTATATTTAACTTATATGCAGAGTGCATCATGTGAAATGCCAGGCTGGATGAATCACAAGTTGGAATCAAGATTGCCAGGAGAAATATCAACAATCTCATATATGCAGATAAAACCACTAATAGCAGAAAGTGAAGAGGAACTAAAGAGGCTCTTGATGAGAGTGAAAGAGGAGAGTGAAAAAGCTGGCTTGAAACTCAACATTAAAAAGAACTAGGATCATGGCATTTGGTCTCATCACTTCATGGCAGATAGAAAGGGAAAAAGTAGAAACAGTGACCAGTTTTCATGGGCTCCAAAATCACTGCAGACAGTGACTGCAGCCATGAAATTAAAAGACTCTTGTTTCTTGGAAGGAAAGCTGTGACAAACTTAGCATATTGAAAAGCAGAGACATCACTTTGCCGACAAAGGTCTGTATAGTCAAAACTATGATTTTTCCAGTAGTCGTGTATGGATGTGAGATGATGATAATTGTGCTCAGTTGTGTCCTGACTTTTTGTGAAAAGGTAAATGTAAAAATTCACTATAACTCAAAATTTGATATTCAATGGATGCAGTATAATGGTTAACAGGCTGAATTCATAAAGGGAGGCTGAATTCATGGAGAGTAAGATTAGAGAACATGAGGGGGAAAAAGCAATTTTGGTGATTTTGATTGTAAGAACTTCTAATTGGCTCTAATTCTGGGGATCTCAGAATAACAGTGGGGATTAATGTTAGGAGTACAATTTGATTTGGGCTTCCCTTCTGGCTCAGCTGGTAAAGAATCTGCCTGCAGTGCAGGAGACCTGGGTTCGATCCCTGGGTTGGAAAGATCCTCTGGAGAAGGGAAAGGCTACCCACTCCAGTATTCTGGCCTGGAGAATTCCATGGACTGTATAGTCCATGGGGTCGCTGCAAAGAGTTGGACACGAGTGACTTTTCACTTTCACTCAATTTGGGGGCAGGGAAGGAGATTTAAATCACTCTTCAACTTACACAGCATGAATTGGGGGTGTCTGACAGGAGATTTCTCTTAGCATTTCATTTAGAGAAAGAAGCAAGTAGGATGGAAATACCTAATTATACCTTACAGGAAAGAAAAAATTATCAAGATACATTTAGGTCCTTTGTAAAAGGAGTGTTCTCTTCATATTAAACACTGTCTAGAGGAACGAATGAACAAATTAGGGAAATAAGAACAAGAAAGGAAAATGAAATGTGTTTGTTCTCTGTACATTGCCCACTGTAGGTGGTCACTTTTCTTAGGGGTGTGGGGGGAGAATCACTCTACTTGTTTGGTAGTCCTCCACTCCCAACTTCCTATTAAAGCTGTGGCCCTTCTATACTTAACTCTGAAAATGCCAGGCCTTATTGTCCTCAAACTTCACTTACTGGAGTCCTAGATAAGCATTCTGGTTTCTTTTTTGGAACAGAGTTTCAGTTTAAAAATATCACCCTTCAGGTGTCTGTGAAATTATCATAATTGTTTATTCCATGTGAATGTAGTCATGAGACTTAAAACAGACTTTTGATGTCCCAGGGTAAAGCAAACATAAGCTATTTCTTTCATTGCCCATTGGGCTACTGCAGACTACCCCAGGACGGAAACTTGAGACCCAGGAGACACAGTTCGAAGGTGCCTATGTCCTTACATCCCAGCCCTACAGGCTAGCCAAGGTGAGCACAGTTGTTTCAAGTCAATCAGGTACACACGCTGGCTCTATATATTCAGCATGATTTATATGGGGAAGAAAAATTTTGGTTTTGCAGACAAAACTTTTTGTTAATGAAGTCATGTCAAACTATGCTCCTTCAGGATTAAATAATTTCAGCATTATGGCACTCAGATTAAATGTTCAGGCAGCTCACTCATTGTTCACTTCATGCATTATACAAAATACCCATGAAATAAGCCAGGCAACCAAAGTTTCATATGAAGGAGAAAATGCTGATGGCCTGCTACCTGCAGCATTGCACTGTGGGTTCGAAGAGTTCTCGGAAACAAAGAATGGCAAGAGGAAAGGGTGTTGGTGAAAGCCCACCCGGCCCGCGGGAAGGCGCCCAGCGCCCCCTCCTGGCTGCTTACCTCGCGTTCCCTCAGTGGCTCTCCGCCAGGCTCTCGGTGTCACACTCCTTGGGCGGTTCCCCTCCGCCCGGCAACTCGCTCTCGATTTCCCACAGCACGTCATCCTCATCCTCCAGGTTGCTGGAGATGTGGCACTTCTTGAACCCTTGGACGATGGACTCGCTCGAGATGCTATTCCAGGCCACCATGACCCACTCCAGAAAAAGGCCCAGCGGCGGCTTCTTGGCGTTCCCGGTGGGGCTCAGCGCCAGGTTCCCCGCCAGGAGCCAGTTGGAATACTGGGCCCGCACACTGTCATTCAGTGGTTTGTAGACCACCACATCCAACACCTGCAGCTGCGAGGTCAAGCCTCCCGGGATGATGACCATGTCGGTGTTCATGCTCTCCATGGAGCTCTTCACCGAGTCGGTGGCGTGGCCCCGGAAGCCGTTCAGGATCAGCAGCCCTCGCTGCTTGGGCACCGCGCCCGTCCTCCGCCTCCACACCACCTCCAGCCAGTCCTGCATCAGGTCCTCCGTCATCCAGCCGTACCGGTGGCAGCGGATTTCCATGCCACTTGGGAACTTCCCGGGGGGGATGTACGTGCCCCTCAGAATGATATATGGAGGTAACTTCCTCCCATCAGCCAAGACACCAAGCATGGCTGTGATTTTCAGTTTCTCCCTCCCTGGCGTCTTGACCAAGACAGGCTTTTCCCCCTGGTTGTCCACAGTCACCCTCGAGGGCACCTCTAAGCAAATAGGCGTCTCGTCTGCATTTCCCATCTGAGCCACCTGGTAGTCGTGTGCCCTGCGCAGAGCCAGCACGCTCCGCTGGTAGGTAACAAGCTTCTCGGTCAGGTCCTCGGGCAGCTGCTGGGGCACCGGCACCTTATGCCGCAGAGACAAGTCATACCTCCGCATCATTCTTCGACACCAACCCAAGCTAGCCTTGAACCCTTTCTCTGGAATGTTCATCTCCTGGGCGATCTCCAGAGCTTTCAGCTGCATGGCCTCCCTGGTGATGGGGTCCCCTTTGGCCTGCATGTATCGCACGTACTCGGCCACGCGCTGGTCCACCAGGGCGAAGCGCCCGTTCTTGGGGCCGCGGAAGGCACGCCGCATGGCGTGGGCGTTCTGCAGCTGCGGCTTCACTTTGCGCCAGTCGCGGACGTTTTTCTCCAGCACCCCAAACTGCTTGGCCGCCTGGCAGTTGTTGGTGCTCTCGGCGTACTCCACCACCATTAACTTGAAGCCTGCGTCGTAACTGCGGCGCATGCCCCGGCTGAACTGGAGCTTCCCGGCCAGGTCGTCGGCCGAGAGGTCGTACCCGGGGAAGCCCATGGCCATGTAGAAGGGGTACCCCTCGCCCCACTCGGGCAGCTCTGTGATGTCCCGAGGCAGACGGAGGCCAAAGCCATCCAGGTGCTGAGGCTGGGGAAACTGCGCGGCTGCGTTCATCGGGGCCGCCCAATCTGGCGGCTTCAGGTCGGATTCTTCCTTTTCTGGAAGACATACAGGGAGGGTGAAGATAGTGTCCATGAGTACAGCGATTTGGGGGTCATTCCTTGATTTGTTTTTGGTCAAAATACCGAGACTACCTCAATCGGAAGCTCACTAGAAGCAGTCACTTTAATAACAGATACTTCCAAAGTCCTCACCCCTTTGCCAGTTCCCGTAGATTACCACATCTAATTCTCACAATAACTGTTTCTTTACTCTGTCTTTGCAGATGAGTGTAGAAAAATTAGGTAACGCGTCAAGGTGGCAAAGCCAGGAAGTGACAAGGGCTGGAAACTGAACACAGGCACCATGCCTGAGTAATGCACTAACTGTGAGGGTCACGCTGGGTGAGAAGCCAAATACAACTCATTCTACACACAGTATTACAGAATTTGTATCATCATGAACCGAATCATATCCCTTAAACCAAGAAAATCTATAGCAATATCACACTTAGCAAAGTTAAGCTTAGAAGGCAGAAGTATGGTTTTTGCAAACCCATGTCAGAACTGGGTTTCACTGTATGTTTCTATTTAAAAAGTGGTCACAGAAATTGAGTATTACTCAGGGATATTACCATATCTCACCAAAACTAAGAACCCATCGATTGCAAGATGCACCATATATGCCATTAAGGGAAAAAGAAAAAGCCACTGGTGAAACTAACATGCCATCAGTTTTAAGTGTTAGTCACTCAGTTGTGTCCAACTCTGCAATGCCATGGACTGCAGCCCAGGTTCCTCTGTCCACGGAATTCTCCAGGCAAGAATACTGGAGTGGGTTGCCATCCCTTTTCCAGGGAATCTTCCCGATCCAGGGACTGAACCTGGGTCTTTGGTATTGCATGCAGATTCTTAACTGAGCCACCAGGGCAGACCCATCAGTTTTAAGAAGCATTCTCAATTGCAGAGATGTTAAAGTGATGAGGGAAAGACATCTCTTAGAATCAATGAAATATGGCATTTTAAACTACTACTTATAGACAGAAGGTAAATAAAATCACTCTGGCCGTTGGGAAGCTGCGTTTACTCCAACTCCTGCTCTCTAGCTATGCTCCTCGGTACGACACTGTGTGCTTCTTTAGACATATTTGCTCAAATGTGTACTGCAGCTGCTATTGCTTTTTCTATCCAAGATGAAGCAGACAGGGAGTCAAGTAAATAACCCTGGATGCATGCTTTGTCACGCTGTTTTCTTTAGTTTTCAGAAGCGTGTGGTATGCTACCAAGGCACTCAAGATGTGCACTGGACCAGTACAGACTTCAATTTCATTCACCTGCATATGAGGTTGCATGTTGAGATTTATAACCCGCAGGTGACAGATGAAGAAATGGACAATCAGAGAGGTGGATGAAGTTGCCTAAGGTCATACAGCATGGGAAACAAGGAGATTTTGAAACTCCAAAGCCCGTAGTCTTTCTGCCTCAGAACCTTGCCTTACTCTTAAATACCCCACAGAATGTACCTTAATGTAAACTTAAAATCCATCTTTATAATTCTACCATTGGATGCCTTCTGCATTGGGTTAATCATAGTACCTGCAAAGGTTCCTCCTTGGAGCTGCCATTCGTCAGAATTCTGAGATTCTTCCTCCCTTTCCAACCGAGTGATCATGTCAGGCTTAGGGAATGGGAATTCTGTTTACAGGAAATAAAACAGGTTAACAGCTGTGTTACTGTCTTGGAGAATTGCCAAAATAAGTACTTTGTAATACTTAAGCAAACCTCCCCTCCACTCTCACCCCACTACAGTATGGAGATTTATGAAAGGCAGTAGAGAAGGATTCAGGGATACTTAAAGAAAAAATATGATGGGAAATAGGTCTGTCCAAGGGAATTTATGGATCTCTGCTAATGAGGGCCCGTACTAGCAATGACAAAAAGGAACTGCATTTAGCAGGGAAGTGGGTGTATGCAGCCACTGATCTAATGAGCATTCCAATACCTGCCTGAGCCAAGTGGGAAAATCCCTCCAAATGGTTAGATTCTAATAATATCAGTGCTGGGAGGGAAGCAACAAGGATTCTTTGGGGCTATGTCCCCAAGCTTCTGAGGCTGACAGGATAACAGTGAGGCCTGCCTTCTCTCCTAGGAATGTATAAAGTACAGGCCCAGATCCACGGTGACATTTCTTAGATTATGTCTTATTTTTTCTTTTTTTGATGAGTGTGCCTGGGTTGAATGAGGATGGTTCTGAGAGCTGGCATGAGCTGCTGAGTAGGAGGACACAATATTTATATCCTGCCTAAGTCAAAAACAGGAAATTAAATGGGCACAGGCATTGAGGGGACAGAGTCCAGGTTCAGGAGAGAGGTATGTTGCATACACCTGAGAAGAGAGACATGGAAACAATTCTCTGGGCTCAGAGCTTCTAAGAGACAAAGGAAAACAAAGTTTTACCCAGAGACAGGACAGTTTCATAATTCATCCTCATGACCTCCCGGTAGAGAGCCTTTTGTTGCTCTGTCAAAACTTCCCACTCCTCATCGGAAAAATATATGGCCACCTCATCGAATAGGGCCGGCACCTGCAATAGTGAACATGCTTTTCTCAATGACTGGTCAGCACATGCAGACACAGTTCACACACCATTATCTCACAAGGGCCAGCCTGGGCCCGGAGACACATCAGTGCTCACATGGCTCCAAGAAGCAAACTCTGGATGTCAACAAGGCCCTCTGTGCCCTGCTGAGTGCTTGCCACACTCTCATTCACAGGTAAGGAGAGCAGAACCTTGAGATGAAAACTCCCCACCATGGACCACCAGGTCGAGAGACTGGATCCTCACACGAAGCAGGGAGAGCTGATCACAGATCAGCCCCCACCCAGAGCCAGAGTCGACCACATGAAGGAACACCCTGAGACAGTCCCCCTGCCAAGACAGCCCTGCTGTCTCCCTCAGTCACAGAGCCTCAGACCACGCGGGTGCTGGGGGCTGCCTGGGCACTAGTCTCCATTTCCAGAGCACTAGCCCCAGTGTATGCCTCAGAACCCAAAGCCTCTCAGCAAGGAGCTGGTAAGAGAAGGGCCCTCATCAGGCCTTTTCCAATCCATAAGAGGATGAGGAGGAAGAGAGAAGGGCTAATCAGAGCTTCAGTTTTTGTAATGAGATACTAGAGCAAACTGGCTTGCTTTGATGCCTAGACCCACAGCAGAAAGCCCTAAAGACACAGCTCCACTCCCCTCCCCCACACCTCCCGGACACTGCAGGCCAGTGGGAAGGGGTGCTTACGTGGCCGAATGCAGCCAAGCCACCCAGACCAACCTTCTCTTGTTCAGCTCTTTCCTTTCCTTTTACTATGTGTCATCTTGCAGTCATTAAAAATCCTATTCCAAAGCTCATCATAGTCAGTGGTAAGGCATCACTGGGCTGCTGCGTTCAGAGCTATTTCCCCTGGTGCAGACTAGGGCCTGGGGGATCATGATGATGTTTTGCATCAGCTTAGACAAGTTCAGTGTCTGCACAGCCTGCAGCTTCTTCAGGTGTCTGGCCATCAGTCACTTAGACTGCCCGGCCTTTCCGCCTTATCCACAAAGCTCACCCCACCCCTCCACACCTCACAGCCCCTTCCACATAGGGAGAATTTCCTGAGAAAGGCCCTGTAACTGCTTCATTTATTCCCCCCCCCCCCCCNAGGAAACTGGCTCAGAGCAGCCTTGTTTCTGGTCTAAAATCACATAGCCAATAAACAGTAGGGTTGAGGCTGGGACCTGGGATGTCTGACTTCACGGCTCTGGCCCTTACACAGGGCAGAATGGCCTCCCTGGTGCCCAGCTTGCATGGTCTCACTTCCACCCCCACACACTCAGTGGAACTTAGCTCCTGCAGTTCCTTCAACAAACCATTCCCCACCCCTCCAGAGACCAGGAGGTCTCCATACATGCTGCTTCAGAAGTCTTCCCCATTCTTGGCCTGGCTGACACCCACCCACCTTCCAAGATTCAGCCCAGATATCCTGTTCTCTGGGCAAGCTGGTCTCACCCTGGGCTGTGTCCCTTGTAAAGCCCTGGGCTCAAGGCTCTGGGGCACCTATCACATGGCAGGATCCTCTTGGTTTCCCTGTTGTCAGCTCACTGAGGGCAGAACCTGGGCTTATTTTGTTTTCTTCCCCTAAGCCTAGGACACTTCTTGTAGAAAGTAATCCCTTGAAAGTGTGTTTTTGAGTCAAAGATTTAAGTATATACCCTCTGGACTTCGCTTCTCTTGTTCTACCTGGAATAGTTTCAAATAATCATTAAAAATTTATCTGTCACAAAACAGCCTACTCTTTGGAGTAAGAATGGACAAAAATTGCCTAGAGTAAAATACCAGGAGGTATAACGGATTGGTCTCTGGGCTCTGCTCAGATTTCATCAATCTGGAAAGCCAGGCAGCTAGGAATTTTCCATCCCACCCCATCCCACTTCCCAGGCTTTTGAACAACTCTCCTTTGGCCTTTTCTCTCCCTAGGAAATTTCAGATCTAGGCTACACCTATTTATAGTCCCTTTCCCTCTGCTGATAAAACAGGACACAGGGCTGGCTGTGCCTGTCATTTCAGAAGGGCGATCCCTATCGACACTCACAGAAGGTAACACGTGCCCAGTCTGGTAAAATACAGCAGACCTGGAGTGGTGTGAAGGCACCCAGAGGCCGGGGCTGGATTCGTCTCCTCCCATTTCCGACTGAGCCGCAGAGGGTCCTCAGACGAGCCCCATGATGCTTCAGAGGCACACAGTGTCGTGTGGCTTAGCAATTCTCCTCACAGCAACCTTCTGTGAGAACTGAGCCAGCCTTCAGCCAGGCCCTGCTGTGCAGGCCTCCCCTCTCTCTACAGAGGCCTTTTATCTGGCCAAGCCCAGCAGAAGGTAAACAGGGCCAGCCCTGGGCCAAACTCAGAAGTCAGGCCGCCAGCATCCAACCCCTCGACACCCACCCTTGCGTGGCCTCACGGGTAGGGGCCCTCGACCCCTGCCCTCCACCCTTCCCAGAAGGTCAAGGTCATCAGATAGCTGTTCTTCCTTCAGCCTTGTGCGCTGCCTCGCTCGGCCCCAAGAGCCGGCCTTCCAGCATTTATCGAACCATCCGAGAGTACTTACATGCTGCCCAGGCATGCTGACGATGCTGTGGGACCACTCAGCAGACAGTGGGGCTCTTGGGGCAGAGGCCTGGGACCAGTGCACCGATAGAGTGCCTGCTGTATGCCAGGCACTGTGTAGGGCACTCCTTCTTGCACTCCTATTGAATCCTTTAGATACACAAGGATACGGGGATCACTACCCCAGTTTGATGGGTGAGCAAACGGCTGATAAGTATCTCGCCCAAGGTCACAGGGTTAGCAAGTCTGACTCTTATGCCCGCGCTTTCTCAGCAGGTCACTTAGGCCCCTGCCTCGTGGCAATAGCAAACCCCAGGGTCCCTTAAGAAAGATGAACCAAGGACTTCTTCCTCAGAGCTACTAAGCAAAGAGCTCAGACTCCAGGGCACAGCATGTAGCCCCGGTGGCTGGCTTGAGCCTGGGCCTGCCCTGCTTCTCTCAACCGTCTCCTCCACTCCCTGACACACGCTGCAGGCTCCAGCAGCAAGAGCTGCCGCTAAACCTCTTCTCCAGTGCCTGTGCTCCTGGCTTCCTAGATGGCAAGATCTTCCCTTCCCTTGGCTGGTTCCACCTCTGCCTAAGACTTGGCTCACAGTACATCTTCCCTTTTCTTTACCTGAAATTGTATTTCTACTCCAATTCTCCCATGCAATATTACCTTTATAGCATGGTTCTTAAGATTGAAAGATTTTATTGATCACCCCAACAAAACCTACAGCCAAAACACATATGTAAGAGACAGACTTGATTGTTTTCTTCTCCTAGTTTAATGCCCTGGTGCAGGATTTTTTTCACTCAGCACTGCTGACACTTCTGGCCAGATCATTCTGTTTCAGGGGCTGTCCTGGGCGTCACAGAAGTACGGCAGCACCCCGGCCTCTACCCAGGAGATGCCAGTAGGCTCTCCCACTTCCCAAGTTCCACCACAAGTCATGACAACCAGAAATATCTTCACCTAGATGTACCTGGGAGGGGGCAAAACTACCTATTACTCAAGACCAGGTCCTTGCCTGGTTTCTCCAGGAGTTCTCCGGCCTGTAGAAGAGACTGTCCAGACCTGACATCCACCACAGAATTCCAAATACTGTGCAATTAATCAGATTTACTTTCCTGTCTTCCTCATAAAACAAGTATTAATAATTCCACGAGACTAAGGATCCTGTCTTAGTAACACCCAGCACTGTGCTGAGTAGCTGCAGACGGATGGCAGATTGCTTGGATGCCACACATGCCAGTCCCCCTCCTCCAGCTCCACTGGTTACTTCCTTTCCCAGCCAAGCATGGGCTTCACCTTGCTCCTCTCTGTGTTGTCCCAACAGACTCTAATGCTTGCTTCTACTGCACCTGTTTTGCATGCTTCTCCATTCTGTCTAAATGTTCTTGGTTGGCCGGTATAGCCTCAAAGCATTGAGTTCTTGCTCAGGGCTAGATGGGATGACTCCTGCGCTCTAAAATCTCCCCAGCTGCAGGGATTAGAACTGAGGAGGACAGCAGCATGGTCTGAAGAGACAGAAGCAGTCCAGCTTCAACAGCTAGACTGGAAAACCCACAGCCTGGAGTCGTATTTTTTGTTTTTTTTTCAAATGGAGTATAACATACATACAACAAAATGCACTACTTTTAAGGTTCCGGCTCAAGAGGTGTTTTTAAGAACAGCAGTCAGTATACATGTGTATCGCAGGGGTAAAGCAGATAACCCTGCTGCACCTTATGCAGTGGGAGGGGAGTAGGACGAGATAGTTTGCAAAGACCATGATTCTATGAATACATATCTCTCATTGGAAGAAAGCATACTATGTATACTGATGACGTTCATACACAGTGGAAAACTAAGCAGAGAAAAGGAATGTCATTTGGTGCTTATTTAAAATGTTTACCATGCATGCTGAGTTATCATCAAGTCCAGTAAGTACTGTAAATAATGGACACAACTGTAACTATAAATATCTGTTGCATTTATACTTTAAATTTTAATTCTATCACACTACAATGTTTGGATATGCTCCCTGCTCACTGCTGCCTACTATCCCAATCCCTCCACCCAGGGCCAGCTGGAAATGCAGTTCTCTCCTGTGTCAACCAACTGGCCTCATCCCATAAAGCTCTCCTCATATCAGCTCAGGGCCCAAGACTTAAATGGTTTAAGTGGTTCCCTTCAATCAGCAGTAGGTGACAAAGACTTTGTCCTCACCCCACACTTGGTCAGGTTCCCCTGAGCCCTCTTCTCCACTAGGCCCCTACCCTGGACACACACACACACCTTCTATGGTCCGCGGCCTGCACAGCCCAGTTTTCGCAAGAATCCCACTAAGGCAGTTGAGAAAGAATCCCCTGTTGCTGATGGCTCCTCTTAGTAATTTTCCATTCGCTGAGCCCTATGCTCCGTTCCCTGGCTGTAAATCCCCACTTGTCTTTACTGTTGAACTCTCTCCTGTTCTCTTCGCTCTCCTATTGTGACAGTCTTGAAGCCTATCTCAGCAGTTCTGAATATTAATATATTCCTTAGTATATTCCTTATTATCTAAACAAGTGCCAGAATAATTTTTCTTTTACACATGGGTCAGCAGAAATTTAGTTGATATCTACAAGGTGCCTGGCATTGAGCAGGATATAGGGAATCCATGGGTACAGGAGAGAGACATAGTCGTGGCCCTGTGGACTTCCAATCCTGATGGTGATACGTTATGTGCCTAAAGAGACTGTTCCCATAACCAGCTTCTCCATCCTTCGCTGTGCCTTTTAAAGCCACAGAACTGTTTTCTCAGGAATGCAAACACACCGGACTGGGCTAAGCTAGGCTATTTTTACTTCCTGTGGCTGCCTGAGGAAGAGACTTATTACAAACCTGGCTCCTAGGCCTGCCCCTCACAGCTGTGTGAGACCCCACACCTTCTTACTTACCCATCCACCCTCTGAACAGATTCGGACTTTTTGCATATCTGTGGGACCATCCTCCAGTTCCCGGCTCTGAATCTCTTCTTCTTCTTCCTCTTCTTTCAGGGTCAAATTGAGAGGGCAGGCTGTGGATGCCATCTCTGCAAGCAAGATTCAGTTCAGAAAAATCAGGTGCTAGTGTGAACTCTTCAAAGCCTGTGAAGGGGGCAGCTCAGGTTACACAAACCTTTTTAGCTCCAGGACAGTTCAGGGGAACAAGAGCAAGGGAAGAGCCAGGTCTGGGGAGGAAGGGCTTCAAGGAAAGCACCAGGAAGCTGGAAGGTGACATTTAGCTCTGAAAAGAAGAGGGTTGCAGGCAGTCAGCATACCTGGCTGTCTTCAAATATTTAAAAAGACTGGAAGAGAGACCAGACTGGTTCTGTAGAGACTTAAGGGCATAACAGGTTGGTGGGTAAACATTCCAGGAAGTTTTAAGAATGCATCAAAAGGCAGAACTTTCTCACAGCCAGTGCCACCCAAACATGGAATCAGCAGCAGGTGTGTTGGCTTCCTGTCAATGAAGGCATTTGAACTCATAGTGCACTCGCTCAACAGGGTTGTTCCTACAGGGCCAGTTCAGTGTGAGGAGGTTGGTTGGTCCAGAAGACCTGGATTTTCCATAGTCAAAGGTTTTGTCCATGAGCCAGGTCAGAAAATAGAGTCATTCTGCCTTAAGTGACTTTCCAAGCCCAGAACCCTTAGTGAAGAGTAATGCTTGGATACCCAAGAAGATGCAGAAATCACCAGGGTCTGGGGCCCACCCCCACCGGTAAAACTCGTTGCCTCTGGACCGCAAATTCTCTCTTCTGCAAATTCTCTTTCGCACAGCTCCTGGGCCAGTACAACGGCTCCTGCCCTCTAGGGGCGCGGGCAATTCCTAGGTGTGGAGTGAGTGTGCATCTTGTGGGCCTCATCCTCTCAGGCTTCCAAAGATCCTTCCGGAGTTCAAAGTCCGCTTCTTCGGTATTTTCAAAAAGGACTGGCAAACGCAGCAAGATACGTCTGGGGCGGGTGAAACAGGCTTCAGA